TGATGGCCAGTGTGGGGCTCTGTGCTCACACTTCTTAGTGAGGCCCGTGGGATAATGAGGGAGCCACTTTCCACCTGATGAGGCTGGTGGTGGGGACCCCGTGCCCAGCAGCCCCAGGTCAGAGGGCAGGTCCCTGATGAGCACAGACCTCCAGGAGGGCGGTGGGTCCAGTCCCCCCATATGCACTTCCCTCAGGTATTCTGGCCCTGCCATGGGTCTATGCACAGTGTTCTGGAAACTTCTCTGGGGCCCAGGACTGGGGCTTCCTTTAGGACCTTCCTTTACCCTCATGGCCCTGCTTCCTCTCTGGTCTCTCACGGGATGTTTTCTTCCTGCAGGTGGGAAAGGAGGGAGCTACGCTCAGGCTGCCAGTGAGTATGGAGGGTGACCCCTGGGCCCCTTGGACAGTGCCGATGGGGACCATGTGGGACACCCCCCCTTAGTTCCTCCTTAGTCTCCTGCCCTGGGGCTCTGACCCTCTCCTGGTGTATCCCCCCTCCTCCCAGACAGTGACAGCCCCCAGGGCTCTGATGGGTCTCTCTCGGCTTCTAAAGGTGAGACCCTGCTGTGGGGAGGGGTGGGCAGACGGGAGGACTGGGTGGTGGGGAGTCTGTGGGACACTGTGAGCATGAAGTGGGCTGTGAGAATGTCACCAGTTACAGCCACTGACCTGAATGTGTTCATGATGCTTGTCCTCCACAGCGTGAGGCAGCTGCCTTGTGGGGACCGAGAGATGGAAGATGTTCACGCTCCCACTTCCTGACTCAAGAACCTCTGATTGGGGGGCTGGCCTGCTCTGCTCCCCACACTTTCCTGTCAGCAGAGGCAGGCTGGGCCCTCCCCATCCCTGCCTTTACTCCCTGGTGCTCTGAGCGGCCACTTCCTGCTCTGTATTGAAATGAGGCTGTGGATTGACCTCATGTTTTCATTCTTGCCAAGGATTCTGCGGATTCCTGTGCATTTTGTGCTGTTTTCAGGGGGACGGGAGAGGCTGTGAGGCCGGCTGTGTGATCAGGGCCTGTGCCCAGGTGGTGCTCAGTGCACCGTGGGCTTTAAAGTGGTCACTCCTCGGCCGGGTCACCTCTCTGCTCCTCTGACCTTGTCCCTCAGTTTCCCTGTCCCACCAGGGCCTGAAGATTCCAACCCTCTGATCAATTTGGTCTTTCTGGCGACCAGCCCCCTCCCTGACTCTCTACAGGACCCTCAGCCAAGAACCATCTCATCAGCCTCCCAAAGACACTTGTCAC